TTTCCCTGTGTGAAGCTCACGATGCATTTGCCTTGAGCATCGCTCACTGGACTTGTACGTGCTGCCTGCAGCTGAGCAGCATCAAGCAGCTCAGGGATTATGTAGACCATAAGCATTTGCTGCATTTACTGCCAAGCAATGAAAGCCCATTTCATAGTTCTTGCACTGGTGGACCTGAGGTGACCACTTGCATTCCTGTCAGAAGAGAGAGGTGGTGGAAATGCTGCCAGGCTCTGGTGCTCCTGGAGTCTGAGCAGGAGACAACCACCATCAACTGATGCCCAGTGATGAATGCAGGCTCCTAAGGGCCTTCAATACTGGAGCTCAAGCCCTGGAGCTGCCGATTTATATCAGTTTTTGGCGTAAAAGCAGGCCTCACCTCAGGTACTGACACTTTTCCCAAACTCATAGCCACAGAAGCAATCCTGCTGGTAAGAAATGCTGTGGCCTGGCGAAGAGGAGGAGCCAAGTACCCACCACTCCAGCCTACACAGAAGGGAAGACTTGCCTCCAGCAAAGGAGTGCCCGAGGCCACCTGGCAGCAGCAGTCCAAACCAGCTCTGAGCACGGTTGGTGCTGGGTGGGCAACAAGGGACAAGGCTAAGAGGAAACCCAGGACAAGGTCAGCAGTTTTGGCCCCATGGTTCAGCTGTAAGCCAAGCATCTCATGGAGTTGTGACTTGGCCCAGCTTCCCTGAGAGCCCTGGGCAGGAGCAGGTGGCGAGCCCAGTCCTGCTCACTCATCACGGTCCTGCTCTACAGCACCTGCTTCGAGCTGGCTCTCTTTTTCCAGGAAAGTGAAAGGAGGAAAAACAATCAGACAACCAATCGCTTTCCTATGGTGTCAATTGTGAGTGGCTTTGCAAAGCCACGGTAAAAATAACCTTTTCCACCTCAGCACGTGGCAGCAGGGCGAAAGCCTGGGCCTAGGGACCTGTTTTATAACTTGGTAGAGACACTCACGGGGCTATATGGGATGGCATGTGCTTTTCTTCAGATCTTCTTCCCCAAGTGCAGACTTGGAAATTAAGCCTTATCGTCTCATGGCCAAACATGTAACCTGTGTGTTTTAACTGTCATACCATGTCAGTAGGCACCTCCACCGTGTTGAGGTTTTCACAAGTAGCTGGACACAACAAACACCTGACCACCAAGGTGACAGGTATGAATAAAGTCTTTTGACTGCACAACAGGCACCAGCCCAGCTCCTCATAAAGAATCAAGACCCACTCAACTGCCCAGTGCAGATCTCCTGGGAAGAGCTATCAGTCTGCTAGTGAATGGAGTTATTTCTTCTGAGGGCACAGAGAAAACAGAACCATGTCTTCAGGCCCATGAAGTGCCTTGCTCAACTCATATGAATAGAGGCCCTTTATTTCCAAACTGCTGGGTACATTACCTCTGTGAACGCCCAGCTTTGGCAATGCCCTTCAGCTCTCTCGCAGAGCAGCTGGCTCGACAAGGTTTTTGGAGTGGATTTAAAAATACCCTTGTCAAAGCAGAGCCCGTTGCATCTGCTCGGAGCTTTGTGCAAACATGCCGTCAGGGTGAGCTTTTCAGCAGGCGGCACACCCGGACGCAAACCTGCCCCGGCAGCTAGCAGGGAACAAACAAACCCTTCGTTTGCTCAGGCAGATGGTCAGATGCCCGACGGGCTCTGTGTGAACAGGTCAAGCAAGAGTCTGCAGGGAGTGGGTCTCACAAGCTCCTGTGAGGGAAGAGAAGAAGGGCACTTCCTCCTTCCCATTTTAAAGCTGGGTGTGGGGGGGGAAAG